TGCTGCTCCCGTCGCTCTGGCAAAATGGTGAGTGGTGGCCCGAGCTCCGCCGGGACCCCCATCATGCTGGTGTGCCCCAGCGGGGCGGGCTGCTGGGAAACCTGCCGCGCCTCGTGGCTGGACCCGGAGCAGTCCCTCCGCGCACCACTAGCTGGGGCCATACGTGGATCTCTGATCTTGCACCATCCAAGCCCTTTCCCACCCCGAGAACGCCGCAGGTGTCGGGCCCCGAGCGGAGATCGTCCCGGTGTCCATCCGGGTGGAGCGGTGGTGGATTGTGCTGGGGCAAACAGAGGAGCGCCGGCGCTGAACGGGTTTGCCGGGAAAGGGTGGGCGCTGTGGGTCTCCACGCTTCCGCGGGACGCCCAGAGTATGATCACCCTTTTTCTCTGTGTTGGAGGGGGTATGGGACGGTATTGTGTCGTCGTTAATTCCAGGCAAGGCGGCAGGCTGGAAGCTCATGAGGAAGTCCCTGAAGCAGGTGACCAACCTCCTCTAACGGCCCACGAGGGCTGCGTGTTTCGCATTCGGAGAGTTTTTTTTTCCCTAGCGGCATTAGCCCACCTGGGCCCTTGTTGGGCTAGGTGGAGGGGGGTTGGGAGTAAGTGGACCTTCCACAGTTCCAGACTCACCTGAGTGGGCCCCGGCGTCCATTGTCACCAAAGAAACAGCTCCCTTTTCAGTGCATGGCCAGGAAGGTGAAATTCCCTCCAACCCCTTGGTAGAAACAGGACCTTCTCATGAAGCAGGCTTGGGCTGTGCCTTAGAAACATTTTCCGTATTTTTCCTAAAGGTCAAAATCCAGGGCAACGGGGGTGGTGTCCCAAAGCCTCTAAGAAAAGCTGAGATTCATTTCTTTCTTGCCCACCTGAGCAGGTGTCTTCGGGGAGAAAGAGTGATGTTCCCACTCTAGGACAGAAGGGCTGTGGTGACAGCCCAGACAAGGAAGGGACCCTGCTGCTGGCCAGTGCTGGTGTTTGGGACTAAACTCTTAAGGGGAGGATGGGATGGAATGGCAGTACACTGTCTTCTCTACACCACAGGGAGCTCTGGTGGTGGGAAGGGGCTGGCACTCAGAGAGCAAGTAGGCTTGGGCATCCTCTGGTGGGTGGCCCTGACTCCACAGCCTGGCCTGAGAGGGACTGGCACAGCCAGTGGGTGAAGGGTGTGCACCCCTGGAGGAGGGATTGCAGTTTGAGGAAAGATCGGAACAGCTCTGAGGATGGCAGTCACTGCAGATGTGCACAACCTGCAAGGCTGAGAAGATGCTGGAATGTGGCAGCTGTCCTCAGCCCTGCTCCCTGGAGGGCAGTCAGACTTCAGTGTGGGCCCCCCATGCACCCTTTCTGCAAGGAGCCTCTTAGCAGCACCCAGAAGGGAGGTGGGCTGTTTCAGGAAGGTTGGGCTAGTCCCAGTGCTGCTGAGCTTACAGAGGCTGAGCTGGGAGGAGAGGGTGGGGGCTGTGGGATGACACCCTCCGGGTGTTCTGCCCTAAGAAGAGAGGCTCTGGAAGAAAAGCCCCAAGCCCAGCTCACTGCCGGCTTCAAGGCTAGGACTGTCTTCCCTGGCGTCTGGGCACTGCCGAGAAACCCTGTCTCTTCCAGGAAGCTCTCCTCAGGCCTAGCACGGGGCAGGGCACATGGCAGGAGCTTGATGTGTGGTACATAAATGTAGTGAAGAAGGAAACAAATTTAACCCAGCAAATCACCTTGCCTTTCTTAGTCCGGGTGACTAATCCCTAAAACGCTATTACAATATGTGATGAGAAAGGGAAGTGCTTTGAAAAGTTAAACTGGCAAAGGAAAACTACTAGGAAACTAAAACTACTACTGTTATTATTATTTTCATATGTCGAGGCCAGAAAAGGCTGAGAGGTGCAAGCTTGGTGTTTAGTGGCTGTGGTGGGTTTTACACCCTCCTGTCGGGACTCAGGACTGCTCCATCTCTGCCTTTCTGAAGGTACAGCCGACTGGGAGGTAGTCACCTGGGATGGCAGACTCCAAACTGCTGGAATCCTGTGATTCAATTCTAAGCAAGGTTTATAGTGGAAGGAAGGAGTTATCCCCGACAGGGCCCTGGGAGCTTACATTCCCATATAGGTGGATCACACAGCCTGTGGCGTCAACAGCATTGAACCCAGGGCTGATGACCCATTAGATCCCTTTTTGGCACTTTTTGGTTTGATACCACTTGGTTGAACCATATGGCGAGTTGTACCTCTGAGCCTCAGTTTCCTTACCTGTAAGATAGAATGAAAGAGCAGAAGGGCCTGTAATTTCACCGTTAAAACATTTCTGGGCTTCTGCCAAAAGGACAGGCTGACTTAGTAGTCTCTTGGTCTGATCAAGTCATTTGATGGGTGAATCCTGGGCAGGGGAAAGGCAG